GATGGTCCCCAAAGGTTTGACCAACCACGGCAACGCTTTGATGGTCCCCAAAGGTTTGACCAACCGCGGCAGCGCTTTGATGGTCCTCCGAGGTTCGACCAGCCACGGCACCGCTTCGATAATCCACCCAGACATGACCAGCCTAATTTTGGACAGCAATCTAGATTGGATTCCTCAAGACCCCCTTGCCCTCCACCACGTTTTGAATCTCCTTCAGCCCCTCAGTTAAAACAGCAGCAGGGTCCTGAACCTAAATTGGAGACCGACATTCAAAATCCTGCAAGTTCAGATTCAACAACCTTGCCAAAAACACCTGCTCAACCACTGTCTAACAAAGATGAAAGTATACCTAATAAGTCAACAGCTGATGACTTGACAGATGATAATTTGCTTGGATCAGATGGCTTTTTTATTCAAAATGATCCTATTCCCCAGACATTAAAAAGTAAGAAAGAGTCTGAGGAAGCAAAAAATAAAAGTGTCACTGATGATAGCAATAAAGACAAACCTAGTACATCAACGAAAGACTCTGGTTCAGTATCAAAACCTCCACCACCTCCACAAAATTCCCAAAAGGACGATGGACCAATGATAGACAACAAAAAATCAATTAAAACGACTGCTGGAATCCAACCAGAACTACAAAGTTCAGACCAGTTGGCACCAAAACCAGAACCTCCAAATCTACTTCCTGGCAGGGGACGTGGCCAGCCTCCACTGCGTGGACTTGGGCGTGGACAATTGGGCCCTGGCCAGTTCAGAGAACATAATATTGCACAAACTGAGGAGGGGGTGGACGAAATGCCTTATGACTACATTCCACCGGAGGAAGATGCAGAAATACCTGAAGAGCAACAAGACTACTGGCAAGATCCTTCATATCAGGGGTTTGGCGAGGATGAATCAGAGGTGCGTCCTGAAGACACATGGGTCCCAGAAGAACATTACTTTGAAGAGGAAGAGTATTATGAGGAGCCAGTGGGACCATTTATGGGGCGAGGTAGACCCCCATTGAGAGGAGGGCCCCCAATGGGGCGAGGAAGACCACCCATGGGCAGAGGATTTCCTCCCATGGGGAGAGGTGTACCACCCATGGGTAGAGGATTTCCTCCCATGGGCAGAGGAGTACCACCCATGGGCAGAGGGGGTCCGCCCATGGGTAGAGGAGGTCCACCCATGGGTAGAGGGGGTCCACCCATGGGCCGAGGAGGTCCACCCATGGGCCGAGGAGGTCCACCCATGGGCCGAGGAGGTCCACCCATGGGCCGAGGAGGTCCACCCATGGGTAGAGGAGGCCCACCAATGGTGAGAGGTGGACCACCCTTTAGTAGAGGAGGCCCACCAGTAGGTAGAGGAGGGGCACACATGGGAATAGGGGGTCCAGCAGTTGCTAGAGGAGACGTAGATGATATGCACTGGGCAGAGGCTGAGTCAGCAGAGTGTTCTGAGGAAGGAGAACCCTACTGGGAAGAATGGCAGCCTCAAATGAGAGGCATGAGACCCCCATTTCCACCTGGTCGTGGTCGTCCTCCACGTGGGCACCCTGGTTTTATGCCTCGAGGCCGAGGAGGTCCACTTCACCCTATTCACGGTGAAATGGGTCATGAGCCTGTAGGTCATGAAATGGAGTTGGATGATGCCAACATGGATCAGTCAATGCACCCAATGTACCACGAGCACGACCCATATGGCCATCCAGGGCATCCTGATGTAGGAAGAGGCAGGCGACGCATTCCACCTCCGCCCCATGAAATTATGGATCGCTTAGAGGAGCCTTTGTATGAAGGAGCTGAAGGAGATTCTGAATGGTACCCTCCACGAGGCCCTCCAATAACTCCACACGAAATAATTGACAGGGGAGGAATGAGAAGACGACCTATGGGTCGAGGAATTGCAAGGGGAATGTGGCGCCCAGGTCCACATCATGAGGGATATGAAGAGGCATATAAGGAGGACCAAGCTTTGGATTATGATCGAGGTGAGGGTGAGTACCGCCGGCCTCCAGCTCCAGAGTTTCCACCTGAAGACTATCGCCATGAAGCCAAGTTCCGTGAGGGGGAGTGGGACAGAGATCGTCCTCTTCCTGAAAGAGAGTATCCTCCCCGCATGCCGCCCCCACCGCACCTCAGAGAGGAACGCTGGGATCCAGAAACAGAGAGACGTCGCTCGTATCCATATGATGAAAACGATAGGGCAAGGGGAGAGCTACGAATTCTTGACTATAGGGATGAGCCCCCATACAGACTGGATGAACCGCCACACCTGCGGGCTTCAGACTGGGATAGACCTTCTAGGCGTTCTCCATTACCAGTGAGGACATATCCCGATTATGGTGACCTTAGACCTCAGTATGAGGAGCGCAAGGAAGAGCCACCACCTGCTGGATCTGCAACAGACTTGCCTGGAAGCTCAGTTGAAGCAGCAACCCAAGGAACAAGCGGGGCAAATGTGCTTGCCCTTTCTCAAAGGCAGCATGAGATTATCCTGAAAGCTGCTCAAGAACTTAAGCAAATAAGGTAATTTATTGTCTTCTATTTAATTTTATTTGTTTGAGAATATGGTAATGATGAGTGGCTGACTGGCCCAGAATAAAAATCCAGCCTAAAAAATGTAATTTGTTTTAGGAGCTGTGATCACTCTAAAAAAGCTAACTGGTTTGGCTAAAAACCTAGCTCTCAGTTTGATTGACATAAACTCTTGTTTGAATACATATTTGAATGCCAAGTGGCCCAGAGACCTCTCCACAAAGCAGGAAGTGGACTGTAGCACATCAGACATTTTGTGTTGTTTCCCTCAGTGGTTATTGGTGAAGCACCACCACAGAACAGGGGGGTGAGGTTTTTCAAACAATATGGTTCATTTGGCACAGAGCAGAGTGAAAGCAGACCAAAAATATAACAAATGTTGCAATTTTGGTCCTGAATTGACCTGAGGATGACAGCATTACAGAAACGCACTGCAATCCCTCATGCTGAGGTGGCAACTATGAACTTGGCTTGTTTTTTTTGTTTTTTTTAAAGGGAGTTGCAAGAGGGAAAGACCCCTAGTACTGAAAAACCACAACCTGCATCCAGTGACCTTCTGACAGAGCTACCTGCAGGTCTCCTTGGCTTGGAGATCCCACCAGATGTTAGGAATGTTTTAAAGGTAATTGAGAGCTACCTTGTTATTCAGAATCACTTCTGGTTGTATGAGAAATTTAATAAAGGAAAGAAACTTAATTCCCTTTAGTTTTTTTTACCTTACTGTTTGATGTAAGAGCTTTGAAAGTAATGACATCTTTTCTCACCAGGGTATGAGTGCTGCTGTTCAGCCAGCTGCTCCTGAATCAGCGTCTTGGGAAAGCAAACCTGCTGCTGCTGTAGATTACCAGTCGTCACTGTCTGCTTCAGCCAAACCGCCAGTAATTCCTAAAACGGTCGATTATGGACATGGGCATGGTATGTCCTGAAAAACAAATACCTTAATTGATACTTTAGAGACATATTAGGTGTTAAATCGGTGATGCTGGTGTAATGACATGTGCTGATTGTCATTTTTCAGAGCTCGGGGCAACTGTAGAGCGGATTGCATATGGTGAGAGAATAGTATTAAGACCTGACCCAATCCCATCAGATCGCCTCTATGATAAAGGTAGGGTTCACGTTGCAATAATTTTCTCATCATTTTTATTAAGTGTTGATTTTTTAAACTCTTTAACTGGTGTTTTCTTTAAACTAAATTCCTAGAACCACTCAGTCTCAGAGATTCCTACAGCCGAGATCCATATTATGACCGGCGACCAGACCCCTATTTGGATCGCCGGGAGTACAGCAGAGAGAGGGAGTTGTACCGAGATGCGCCTCCTGAATATGAAAGAGACAGATATGAGAGGGATCGCTATCATTCACGGGAAAGAGATGAGAGGTATGTCCTTTGTTGCTGAATATTCAACCTTATTTTCTGTTTTAAAAAATTCCAGCTTCTCTACTTAAGTGGTATTATTTTTCTGCTTTTTATTCAAGCACACATACCTTGGTTGAAGAAAGGTACCATCAAATCGTGTCAGATGTCTTGATTTGTCTTGACTCTGATGGTTTGAAGTAAGAAGGATATAATAAAGAAATTAAAAATGGTCATTTTATGTGCAGGTCTCCACTACCTCCTCGAGCGGCATACAGGGAAAGAGACAAGGAGCGAAGTGGCAGTCGTGACCTAGACGACTATTATGGAAGGCCTGGCTATGACAGACCTCTGTATGAGCGCTCTGGACCAGACCGCATCGGGCCTGAGCGTTACAGCTCGCCTTACTGTACGTTGGACACACATATGTTAATTAGCATTTCTTATTCAGCGTTTTCATGCATTATTAAAGCATGTGTTTATTTACAATTTTAGTTTGAACAATTTTTGGGGAGTAATGAATGTAACTCTGAAGGTTAAAGGATTTCTTTAAAATGTTACAAATACTTGGGCCTAATACAGCCAAGTAAACTTTCAGGTATTAATGAAATTTTTGAATTTGTTGAAATGGAAATATTGCCATTCAGTGGAAAGAAGAGGTTATCCAGAGGACCGAGGACCACACTCTGCCGCCCCACTGCCTCCTCCACCAACACCGCCTCCTCCTCGAGTCGAGAAGAAGCCTGAAATTAAAAATATTGATGACATCCTCAAAGCACCTGGCAGATTATCTCGACCTGAGAGGGTATTAATTAATTACTGCAATATTCATTCATGTAACATTAACATATATGAGCAAGGACTTAAGAAAACTGTATTTTAACAGATTGTTATTATAATGAGGGGCCTCCCAGGAAGTGGAAAAAGCCACGTTGCAAAGCTTATACGGGTATGTAATTCTGTTTTTTAATACATAAAAAAAAAAAAATGTGTATCTCAGTAAATTAGAAATATGAGTTTATTTCAGTAAGTCAGTTCTAAAGTGAAAGTTGCATGTTTTATAGATTGAATACACATATTTCAAGTGTTTATTCCTTTTATTTTTGATCATCAATATTTTCATTAATTGACTTGTATTTAGAGGAAACAAAAGATTACATAAATGGCTTTATTTTGGTTACAAACTAATTTTGAAAATCATTCGAAATTTATTTAGGACAAGGAAGTTGAATCTGGTGGCGCACCTCCAAGAGTTCTTGTTCTGGATGATTACTTCATGACGGAGGTGGAGAAAGTTGAGAAAGACCCAGACACCGGGAAGAGAGTCAAAACTAAGGTTGGTCTGGTGCACATGAGATCAATCAAACTGTTTAATCTGATGGATTGTGATGAGTTTAATCAGAATTGTTTTTGGTTTAGTGTAAATGATGAGGTGCTCAACAACTGTCTTTCAGGTTCTTGAATATGAATATGAACCCGAGATGGAGGATACCTACAGGAGCAGCATGCTGAAAACATTTAAGAAAACTCTTGATGACGGATTCTTCCCTTTTATTATTCTGGACACCATTAATGACCGAGTGAAACATTTTGAACAATTCTGGAGCGCAGCCAAAACAAAAGGCTTTGAGGTGAGTTGTTTCAATTAGTACATCTTCTAAATGGAGACACATGCTACAAATTAGCTTACTCTATAAGCAAGATGATACAAGAATTGGACAGCTGTTTTATTCAGTTTGTCTATGTTAATGTGTGTCTCTGCCTATCAAATAAATCTAATAAATTAGATTAAAAAAATAATCAAAAGTTGTTCAGTTTGGTTCCTGCTGAAAAAAAAAACAAAACTAACTTCTCTTCCATTTCTAGGTGTATGTAGCTGAAATCACGGCTGACACACAAACGTGTGCAAAGAGGAATGTCCATGGGCGCAAGCTTAAGGATATAACAAAGGTTAAAATGATCACTTCTTTGATCTCAAATACTAAGATAGTTAAGGCAACGTTCTCATATCTTTGGCTGAAACAATTATTTTTAATGGACTTTTTTATATGCAGATGTCCAACAACTGGGAGTCATCTCCTCGTCATATGGTGCGCCTGGATGTGCGATCCTTGCTTCAAGATGCTGCCATTGAGGAGGTAATTCTTTTTGTTTTAGTAGATTTTTTTACTGCTGGAAGTTGAAACCCTTTTTGTCAGTGACTTTCTGAGCTAAACTTTGATTTGCTTGACTTTTTAGGTTGAAATGGAGGACTTTAACCCCGAAGACGTTCCCCAAGAAACCAAGAGGGAGGAGGAAGAAGAGAGCGATCTGGTAGGACAAAAAAGCTCCACCTCTTAGCCACATATTTTCATGTCTGCTTCTATTGAACAAAACATACGCAGGATTAATTGTTTTCCAGATTGATCTGTAGTGTTGGATCAAACAAAAACGGATGAAATCCCTAAGACTAAGAAAGCACTGTAGTTTTAGTTTATTACTGTTTTAATGTTTCTAACTTTATAATGATATTTAAACACAATTTGCATCAAATAGATTTCCCCCTTAATGTAAGATTCCAGTACATCACAGTAAAACATAAAACTAAACCAATGAAAATTGATGCTATCAAACCAAGAGTTGAAAAACATACTACTAAAATGTCTTAGTATTATCTCTTTACAATGTAAGATATAGTGCAATCTACGCATAAATACTGTTTTTGTATGTTTATACATCACAATAATTTAAACCATTAATGAAATGTGGTGGTCAGCTTTGCACTGTTGTAGCTTAAATGCTTCATTGTTTAATTGCTTCGTTTCTCTGCAGAGATCTCTAAGTGAAGTAACTTTAGACTTTGAAGGTTTTGTAGACTGAAACGCTTAAAACGCATTTAATTTCAAATAATATAGATCAGGGGTGGCAATCTTTATGATGAAGAATAATTTTGGCCTCAGTCCATCTAAATAAAACTTATTTAGAGCTGCTAATATGGCATTAGTTGTAAAATATGACGTTGTAGATAATTAGTAGGTATTTAGATATTTTCACAAATATATAGTGAAGGAAATTTCATTTTTGAAGAACCACTATTTTATTTCTATCAGGTTTTGAAATAAAGAAAAACACAAACTTTGCAAAAATAGAGTGGATAAAAAAAATCTAAAACAATTTTCCTAATACTTTTTTGTGTTATACAAAGCAATTATTCAATTAAAAATCTTAGAAACTGTTTAAACCTGGATTTGAAAATACACGATTTTGTAAAGTTAATTTTTTTTAATCATTTTTAGCCAGTGTTATTCAGAACTATTCTGGAAGGTTCAAAGATCTCTGTAATATTGTGAATTGTTTAATTCCTAGCATAATGCTATAACTTCACCTGGGCAGCCTGAAGACAGAAATTTCACAGCCAGTACTCAAAACAAACTGCAAACTAGACTTGAAGGAAAACAGACTTACCGTTTTTAGATATATTTACCGTATTTTCCGGACTGTAGAGCACCTTACTATAAGCAGCATCTACAAAGTTTAAAAAAAAAAACAAAAAAAAACTGGAAACGTATGTATATAAGCAGCACTGGGCTATAAGCCGCTGGTATCTCCGCCGCTCTCGGTTTTTCACAAGGATGCAGCAGAGGGCTGCATCCTTTATAAACCTGCTGGATTTATTAAGGACGCAGCCCTGTGTCTTAAACGCCAAACCATGGATTAGTTCACGCCGAGCTTACATGCAGCAGCTCTATTTCCCTCCTGTACTACCAGATCCTGCTACAGAGCCCCCTGGTGGTTGAAGAAAAATCCACAGAAAAGCTGCACAGGGCTATAAGCTGCATGGTTCAAAGAGTGGGAAAAAAGTAGCGGGTTATAGTCCGAAAAATACGGTATTATTTTCCTACATAGAGATGTCTTCTTCAGTGGAAAAAACATTCTCACATTTGAGCTATTTTCACTGCAAATACAGACCTGTATGGTCAGATTTCTTTGGGATTAAGTAAAACAACGCAGAAAATACAAAGTCAGAAATTGGCTTTCCTGATCATTTTTGGGAAACAAAGACTTCCTGTGGATTTTGAACACATGTATGACTAAAACTGTGGACAGTTAAAATAGTCATTTAAAACTGTCCTTAACCTTATGTAGTAAATCTTGTAAGAGAATGTGTAATCTCTTCTCCCTTTTCATAGTTTTATAAAATACTAACTATACATTTTAAAAATTGTTTATTAAAACATTGAAATATTTGTACCTGTTTTGCCTGTTTTCCACTGGTTGAAATGTTTCACTCTTTTTTTTCCTAAATCTTTACATGTCACATTCAATGACTTTTATGACCTTTGTTTGTCCATAAAAGCTCCTTATTGTGATCTTTTTTTTAAAAACGCAGTACCGTTGTTGGAAACAAAGATGTATAAGAACTTCTGAACATTATGCTAGATCTGTAGCTTTTGGACAATAGAAACATGTTGGTGTATTCTTTCTGAGGGGAAAATTAACTTGGTAGAGTATAATGCTCTATTGCTCAGCCTCTATAGTTTGTTGCACTTATATTTTCAAACCTTACAGATCATTGGTTGTTCAGGAATTATGCTTCCTTTAACAACTCATCCCTGCCTTTCTACCACTGATTGAAGAATATAAAATATTACATGGCCACGTTTTCTTTTTTATATATAGTACTATTCATCGAGGAGATAAAAGTTCAGTACGTTCTGCTTTCTAAGAATGTGTGATAAGGAAACACCCAATTATTTTTTGGGGTTTCCTTTTGCTCTCAAATCTTAAAAATGGTCGTAGTAAATTTAAAAATTAGAACTGTGATGGGCTAAATCTGTAAAATTAAAACATGAAACATTGTGTGTTCCCTGATGAACCTGGCAATATAATGCTTTGCGTGTTATTAGAGGCACCTGACCAGAATCGTCATGCACATAACGTCTTTCAGTGTTTTTAACCAATAGCAGAATCGGCTTTATTGATTAAGATTGTGTACTCAAACAAGGAATTTAACTTTGTTTTTTAAACGCTCACTGCGTAGACATAAAGTATAAATACATACAATTTTGATTAAGTAAAATACAGGATAAAAGGAACAGTAGGTGCATGTACAGCCATGTCTTTTTTTTTTTTTTTCTTAAGAAAAAAGAAAGACAAATGTGCTTAATTTGTTGCATGGTAGAGTAGCTGACTGATTATTCTGTAAGGTGTTCATTGTGGTCATCAGAGAGGCAACCTAAGGAGAAAAACTTTCTGTTGCAGTTTGTTTTTGCAAAAAGTGCTCTGTAGCGGCAACTTGAAGGTAAAGTTTAAACAGTTGTGTCCAGGATATGTGGGATCTGCAGAAATTTTAGTTGCCCTTTTCCTGACAGTAGATCTGAAGAAGTTGTGGTTGGAGAGGATGTCCGCTCTGGTGATCCTCTCTGCTGATTGAATTGTTTGCTGGTGTAGCCTTAGTTTGTGTTGGCAAATTTCTTACAAATATTAATTGGCACTATTTTTGCAGTTTAACTTGGGGAAATATATCTGTTAAGATGGAGCTTTTTAATTTTATTTGCTAAAAAGTCTTTTGACCTCTTAACCTATTTTCTTACAGGTTGAATCGGACATTTTGTGCAGCTTATTTTAGTCTGCAGTTAATGACTTTTAACCATAAGAACCAGAGACATATCTTTTTTTTTTTTTTTTTTTACACTTGTAAGACACATTTTTCTCTACAGGTGGTATAAATCCCTCAATGCAATTATGTAGTTCATACATAATTTACCTTTTAACACTTTTTGTTTCCAATGGGGTTGACTGTAGGAACTATCGTCTCATACCTTTTCTAAATTAATGTAATCTTTATTAGTTTACACATTTTAATTTTGCCTTGTGTACTAAAAGAATAAGATGTTTCTTAGTTTTGTGGATACATATGTAACAAAGGGATCTCCACATGAAAATGTAAATTCTTCATCTTAGGGTGTTTTACACCCACAATTCATTTTCTGTGGTCTGGATCAATGTTAAAGTTGTAACTCTTTCCAGTGGTTTGGCTTCTTTTCACACAGAAAATTGACAAAAAGGTTTACCAAATGATTTTGAGAAGCTGTCTGGATGAATCTTTCTGAAAAAGACATTCAGCATTTATCACTTTTAGTCTGAATCACCTTTCTAAGCAATGCACATTTGGCTACATCTTGCTGAAATATCATTTCACATCACATTCGCACAAAAAGTAAATTACAGGGGTTGAAACTAAGTAGCGTTGGTTTTACACATGCAAAACTCCTCAAGTGTGGAAACTCCCCAAATTTGCTAAGATTGAAAGGAGGAAATCTGAATTTTTGTAAGAATTTACTTACCACTGTTACTTGACAATTGTTCTATTTTTCATCTACACTCTATTAAGAAATAATTAATCTAAAGACAAACATGTTTAACTCTCAAATGTCAAGAGAGATGATTCTGACTAATCTTTAGCTGTATAAACAATTCTTGATTTAAAATGGGTTTTAAATCTATTCAACGACCAGTTTCAATGATTAAAAACCATTAGAGAATAAGTGGGCTCTGTGTATCAGAGTCTGTCAACATTCATTTGTAAACCTGCCGAGGTCAAGGATGAAGTGGCTGCTGAGCCACATTATGCCTCGTTTCCACTAAGCAGTACAGCGCGAGTCGGTGTGGTTCAGTTCACTATTTTATGCGTCGGCGTATTTAGGAAACCATTTCCACCGTCAGTTAGACTCCTACTGGGGAGGTGGAGTTGAACACAAACGCCTAACGTGTTAACGACACATTGAATCTCTATTATGTTTTCTGCTAGTAGTGATGCTTTTTCTGTTCTCCATTCAATAGACTTTGTGGTGTTACGCCAATAGCTCCACCCTAACCATACAGCACCATTGTTGCATGGATCTACAACCAAAGGGGGATGAGGAATGGTGTTGTACGAGTTGGTTGTATAGGTTGCATTTACAATGGAAAAATACGAAATGGCATACCACACCGACCCGGGCAGTACCGCTCAGTGGAAATCAGACATAAGTTGCTCATAGAGCCAGTTTGATCCCTACATATTTGAAGTTACTTTATGACAATCTCTTTGACTTATAGACACAGGAGACAGCATTGTTTCACTTTAAAATGAGATGGTTCTGGTGGTCTCGTCTGCTCTGGGTTTAAATCTCTGGAGGTTTTGTCACTTTATGATCTTAATAATTATTAATGCACAAATGGCAAATTTGAAAAGTTACTTAAATTCTGAAACGGTGAATGGAAAATATAAAAAAAAGTGTCTCACAGACCTTATTCAAAAATAAATAACTTGGGCATATATTTATTTGTATGTACCAATATTTAACACTCAAACACTCCTAAAATATTTCGGCTTGTTTGGTTCAGAGGACCTGTCCTCCACTGGACCTTGCCTTTTCGCCTGGAACACATCAACTAAAGCCAATCAAAGCATCAGAAGTGGACTTTTGGGCAACTTGGAGGGAAGAGAATATAACAGGAAAAGGGTTAAAGAAAGCCTAGTATTTGCCAACAACCAGGAGGTCTTCCTTTCTGATGTTAGAGAGTTTCACAGATGTGAATCCTGCTGACTTTTTATCTGAACTAAAAATATCCGCTAAGCATCATCTGTGATATGTCATGCATAGCCATTCAACTGAATAGTTTCTTTAATAGTCAAAATTATGTCCTATTGGTGACCTAATCCTGTTTCATGTTTTTTTTATTTGTTTTAAAAAAGCAACAAAGGGTTATCAAAAAAGCTGTTTATTTGTTTTTGTTTCTTCTTGTGATAGATGAGAGATTAGTTTTTATGCAGATTTCTTTCCTGCTTAGAGATAGCAGATGTTGGTTGAGTCCATATTGATCTAAAAGTTAAACTCTTATTTATTCACTGTTCAGAATAGTTCCTTTGTTTCTCCAACTGTAAAACAGTTGGAGACGACAAACGTATAATAATCCAACATAATTTGGCAAAAATAAGCAACAATTTAGAAATTCAAGAGGCTTAGTTCAACTTTTAGTTGCAACAGTTTGTCAAATGAAAAGATTTTTTTTCATGCCACATATTTTATGAAACATTTGAATATTTAATAGCCATAATTCATCTTCTGACTTGTCATCCTGTAATATGTATATGTTAATGAAATCCCTTGGATAAAAAACTTTAGACAAACACATGTTCAAATCATAAAACACTGATACATCAGTAATAGCTAGATGCAAATATTTTATTATTTGGCTCATTGTAGCTTGATTGGATACTTGTGCAGTCAGATGTTTATTGATGAGCCTGTAGCTTGAGTGCAAATCTTTGTAGGACTTTTTAACAGCAGGAAGACTGCATCCTCAGCATAAGACACAGCCATGGGATTATTTGTAAAAATAGACCATCTTTGTACACTAAACCAAACTTCTACTTAAACTATGTTTGTTCTTTGTAGAGAACTTTAATTTGTCAAATTCATCATCAGTTAGCTGATGATCAGTTTGTCACTTATGAGTTACAATATATTTGTCTGCATGCCAGCAGAATGTATGTAGCACTCATTGTATTGCTGTATCTTCCAATGCAGTGTTATGCAGGTTTTGCTTGTTTGTACTTTAACCTTTTATAAACCACTTTCCTCTCTTTTCAGCCAGCCCCCTCTCCTACTTTCTCCTTCCACCTCTACATCACCCAGACATTTAACGATTGCAGTGTTTCTTTAATCTAGGGATATCTTCCAAAAAGCAAATGGGAGATGGACACATCTGAGGCCAAACTTGGTAGGTATTCAATATTTCAGATCTCTGTTGTATCATGAAAGCATTGTCCTCTGTAGTATAGAGATTTCCATTTCCATCTCATAAGTAATTTGTATGTGCGTTTTGTTACTTGGACTGGACCACTAGAATTGGGTTTATTGTTTTTGGTATTAAAAAAACAGCATTGTCTCCTTAAGAAATTGCTGCAAACCATCAAAGTGTTTTGTAGGCCATTATGAACATGTCCATCATCCTACAGATTTTAGTTTACAAGCATTTAAGATCATTACTGTTCTTGCCAGGACTGAAAATATAAAATTGACCCAAGGTCAGACTGTGTAATATTGAGGCAAATTGCAAAAAACCCGAGAGCTTCATCTGACTAGGTGTGCCAGAACATGTATTGAGCGACTGTGTGAGAGATTTAAAAACACGTTTCTTCATGTTGTATGTTCGCTTACATCAGACTCACTGCACGATCAGGTAGGGGACACAAATGTAGCGTCAAAGTGCAATTTATGAGCAAATCAGCAGCAAAAGTATGGGTTTTTAACTATCTGCCACACATAGTTCACATTATCTGGAAGGTGGAAGGCTCATTGTCAGAGCATTGGTAACAATTTTTGCATGGCTCAGTTTTTAACTGTCTATTGAGACATACAATAATATGTGGACATGGCCAATCAGAAAGGGATCCTGCCATTCACCGTCTCTGATTGGTTTAGCCCAGTGGTTTCCAATCCTGATCATCCAGACTCTCTATTCTACATATGTTCCATCACACCTGATTCAAATGATTGCATGGCCTCCTCTGCAGGCATCTAGAGCTGCTGTGGCCTGTTAATCACCCAGGTATTTCAGTCAGGTGTGTGGCAGTAATGAGACACCTAAAACTAAACAGGACCAGGGGGCTTGAAGGTCAGGGATAAGAAGCACTGTTTTGGATGATGATGTGGGCCGAATATTTGTTGATGAACGACAGGGAGACTTTCCGTGTGTTGAGACCCTTTTTTGTCTTGGTGACCTGATCCATCAGTACAGCCTCATTTCTTTAGGTGCGCTACTGCGAAATCAGATCACATTCTAGATCCCTGCAGTAAATCTTAATCAAGGTGATAGAGGGATGATGGTTTGGGCCCAGTGCAGTATTTGAGTACACCAAGAACTCCTTTGTATACCAAAGCATTCTAGAGTCAAATTTGACTCAACCCCGCTGATAGATGTAGTCAGAAAACCCAAATATGAAATCAGATGTACAATTACATGGCTGAAATGGAAAGTAATCAGTGTGGTAAAAGGAACTTTTTTCTGACTAGACTTTGCTTCTGCTTCAGTGGAATCTGAAGAAAGTTGTGCATAAACAAATACATAAACTAGAGATGTGCCGATCAGGTTTTTTCCTCCCGATACCGATACCGATCACCCATGAGGGCCGATCACCGATACCGAT